ACACACACACACACACACACACACACACACACATATTCTTGAATTATATTTTGTGTAGATACATGATTAGAGTAAGGCAACTTCTCTTACTAGACTTTTTAGAGTTTGGGGGTTTGGAGATATGCAAATGTATTACTCATGCAAAACTCTCAATCACAAAATGACAACAAGCTGTAAAAWACATTCGGTGGTTTGGAACTTGGTTCAAACCTTGACCCTTAAAGACTGTGTGTGATTTTGGCCAAATGCCTGAACAACTCAGATGCTTACTTTCTCTTGTTCTTTACAAAAAGGGAAGAAAGACCTCTCTCTTTTCCAGAGCTGATCTGAGGATGACACAAATAGATTGTGCAAGTGTCTGCTGGTGTAAACGTTCACGACTATCGTTGTCATTATTTCCTTGGTGACTTAGTTCTGTTTGCCTGTTGTATACAAGATGCCAGGCTGGGGGCTGGGGCTGGGGCTCAGTGGCAGAGCACTTGCCGAGCATGTGTGAGGCAGTGGGTTCGATCCTCAGCACCACATTAAATAAATAAATAAATAAATAAATAAATAAATAAAGACAGACGTGCTGTCCGTTTACAACTATTAAAAAAAAAAAAAAAAAGATGCCAGGCTGGGAGGAAGCATGAGCCCGGACACTGGGTGGAAGAGGGCAGAAGCTGCTCACCCTTTTCTGAGTCCTAAGTTCAGGTTCTGAGTCATATTTTCTGCCTTGAGCCTCTGAGCTCTCTCCTCTGGGGCTGCCCTTTCCTGGTGACCTGGATGTGAGCAGAGGGCAGCAGGAAATACCATGCTCGGTTGCCAGGGACAGTGAAGGCCATTTCCTGGGCAGAGTGTCTGAATAAATACCCCCAGTGATCATCTTACAGCCTCCTCTGAAATCTTACAGCCTCCTCTGACATGTGTGTCAGGCCAGAGTGCAATACCCCCCCAACCCTACTACTGGGGAATAAACCCAGGGATACTGTACCACTGAGCTATACCCCAGCCCTTTTAATTTTTATCTATCTATCTATCTATCTATCTATCTATCTATCTATCTATCTATCTATCTCTCTATCTATTTACCTTTGGTACCAGGGATTGAACCCAGGGGCACTTAACCATTGAGCCACATCCCCCACCCTTTTTTTAAAATTTTATTTTGAGAGAGGGTCTCCCTAAGTTGCTTAGGGTCTCACTAAATTTCTAAGGCTGGTTTTGAATCCACAATCTTCCTGCCTCAGCCTCCTGAGCTGCTGGGATTACAGGTGTGCACCATCATAGACAGAGTCTCATTAAGTTGCCAGGCTGGTCTTGAACTAGAGATCATCCCGATTCAACCGCCCAAGTCAATGGAATCACAGGTGTGGGCCACCATTCCTGGCCAGAGTATGTTCTTTACACTCTTTCCTACACCTGAATCACCCATTACCTAGATTCTTTGTCTGGATACCTCCCAGGAGACCGTCAGCCTTGGGGCCCTTCTCCAGCTCCAAGAAGCMTTACCTGGTGAGATCATTTCCTTTTCTAGTGGGTTTCCCCCAGAACATTACTGATCATCCTGGATTCAAATTATGTGGTTAAAAGGATCAAAAATAGTGGTGCTAATAAGGGACAAAGAAACATCGAGTGCCACTTGGTATCAGGCACTGAGAAGGACATGGCCCAAAACGCCTCATGGGAACCTGCTGGGGAAGCCCAGGCAGATGCACAGTGAGGGGTACTCTACAACGAGCCGGTGTGTGCATCTCAGAGACGTCAGTGTCCTGAAGGTCAAAGGCGAACCAAGGGGACATGACAACAAAATGCAACCTGTGATCCCTGGATGGGATCCTGAAGAGAAAAACACAGTTGTCAAAGGACACAATTGGACATGGATGGACTGGAATGTGAACTGTAGATTAGATAAGAGTACCAGGTCAGGGTTACRTTTCCTGAAGCTTCTCACTGTACTATGGTTATGTAAGAGTGCCCCTTAGTAAGGGGCAAAAGGCACACAATCCATGTGCAATACACCCACAAGTGGTTCAGACATGATGTCAGTGTGTTTTCTCTTTCCATGCATGTCATATGTAGGTATGTAGGTATGACATATAATCTGTGCATGTATTTACATATGTATGCACATTGTATATATTTGTATGTTTCTCTGYATATATGACTCCACATAAATGTGTGTATGATATATATGTCCCTATATATATGTGATTTATACACACATATCTATCTGCATGTATTATGTATCTATATATAAATGTGCTTTAGTCCACATATATATGTTTGCGTGGATTACACATACATGTATCTGTATATGTATTAATATATCTCTACATATATGCGTGGATGTTGCATATGTGTGTTTTTGTATAAATGTGTCTCCTTGGGCATGGTAGTATATGTACACAATGGAACACTACCTAGGCTTAAAAAGGCAGAGGGAGCCCAGTGTGGGGGCACAGGCCTGTAATCACAACACAGAGGACAGATTCATGGTGGGAGCATATATGAAAGGAGAGTCACAGGAGAGGCAGGAACCAGACTTGCTCTTTCTATAACAAATTGCTCTCATTCGAACTAACTGGCGTCCTCCAAGAACTACAGAAACCCTTTCTGAGGCCCATGACCTATCCATCTTCCTTAAGGCCCCGCCTCTTAAAGGTTCTGCTCCCTCAACATCACCACATCAGGGATGAAGCTTCCCACACTGAATCTCTGGAAGAAACACTCCAACCACATCCAAACCCCAGCAGCATGTCTTGCAACCACAACTCCTTACCTGGTGGTGTTGATGGTGGTGGCGGTRCAGTCTGTGAGGGTTAAAGTTTATGTATTGGCTTGGCTGAGCTAAGGGATGCCAAGATAGCCAGGATAATTTTATTTCTGGGTAGTCAGGGAGAATGTTTCTGGAATAGATAGTATTTGTGCCAGTAGACTGAGGAAAGGAGATCTGTCCTCACTAAGGTGGGTGGGCACCATCCAACCATTGAGGACTACATAGAACAAGAAGATGGAGAAAGGGAAAATTCTCTCTCTCTCTCTCTCTCTCTCTCTCTCTCTCTCTCTCAGCTGAGACATCCATCTTCTCTTGTCCTCAGTCATTAGAGCTCCTTATTCTCAGGCCTTCAGACTTGGATTGAATTATACCACCTGCTTTCCTGACTCTGAAGCTTGCAGATGGCAGATGGTGGGCCTTCTTGGGCCCCATAATTATATGGTACTTTGGTTCAGATGAGTGTTCCTCAAAGGTCTATAGATAAAGACCTTGTCCCCATGATGATGGTGATGGCTGTCTCTGTGGACCTTTAAGAGGTAGAATCAGGAGACTGTGGGTGTTGCTCAATGGTAGAACACTCACTTGGCATGTGCAAGGTTCTAATTTCCATCCCCAGCACCCCAAACAACAAAAACAGTAGTATTTATTATATTGTAGTTCTATGGGTCAGGATTTTGGGAGTGGCTTAGCTGAGTTGTTCTGGCCTGAGGTCTCATGTGGCTACTGATGGATGTCAGTGAGACTGTGGTCATTCATAATTTGGTGTTGGAGGACTGCTTCCAAAACTGCTCACTCACATGACTGACAAGACATTGGTTGTTGGGTGTGACCCTCAGTCTCCTCCTTGCATAGGTCATTCCAAAGGACTGCTTTGAGCATCCTCACAACATGGTGGCTGCCTCTCTCCAGAGCAAGTAATCCAAGCAAGATCAAGATAGAAGTCATAGGTTTTTTCCCCCGGCCTGATTTCAGAAGTCACAGGTCCCAGTGGGTATGGTGRTGCATGTCTGTAGTCCCAGTGGCTCAGGAGGCTCAGGCAGGAGGATCACAAGTTCAAAGCCAGCCTCAAAAACTTCCTGAGGCCTTCAACATCTTAGCAAGACTGTGTCTCAAAACCAAACATAAAAAGGGCTGAGGACCTGGCTCAGGGGTTGAGTGCCCCTGGGTTCAATCCCTGGTACCAAGCCCCACCCCCTCAAAAAAAGTCATACATCCCATGGTTTCTTTCTTTATATATTTTTTTAACGTCCCATCATTTCTGCAGTAGCCTATTGGTTATAATACAGAAGGAACTCCATGAGGTTGCACATATCAGGAAATGTGAGCGATTTTTATTATTAAAGGCAGGAAAGACAGGTTGGCTGCTAAGAATACAGCTGTCTTGGGGCTGGGATTGTGGCTCAGCGGTAGATCGCTCGCCTAGCACAGGCGGGACCCAGGTTCCATCCTCAGCGCCACATAAAAAAAATAAATAAATAAAGGCATTGTGTTGTGTCCATCTACATCTAAAAAATAAATATTAAAAAAATTTTAAAAAAAGAATACAGCTGTCAGGCTGGTTTCAAATCTTACCTGTGTCTAGATAATTGTGTGGACTTGGATAAATGTGCAATCTTTCTTGTTATCTATAAAATAGAATAATTAGATTATGTAATTCAAATAGAATTGTTACAACAGAATAATTAGAATATGTGCTTCAAACAGAGTTGTTACTGGGATTAAATGAATATGGCAACACTAAAGAACAACAATATGTGGGGGATGGTAAGTGTTCAGAAGATGTTTGCTGCTGCTTTTATTTTTATTGTTTTTAATATATTTATATTTTAGTTGTAGATGGACACAATACCTTTATTTTCTTTATTTATTTTTATGTGGTGCTGAGGATCGAACCCAGGGCCTCGCACGTGCTAGGCGAGGGCTCTACACTGAGCCTCAACCCCAGCCTTTGCTGCTGCTTTTAGTCTAAGCAGCTCCTCAGGGTGATTGACAGATCAACTTCTCTCCTCCCACCCACCCACTAGAAGTCCCTAAGACTARAGTTGGAAGGGCACTGTTCAAGAGACCACATCCTACCCAGGCTAAAATATCCCAAAGGCAGAGGGTTGTCTCCTTCATTCAGCTGGGCACCACCTGGTAACAAGAGTCACCTCCCTTGCTTTATTTTCTGATGACAGATTCGAGTCCCCAGCCCACCTTTCTCAAGCCATTTACTTTTACCAGAGTAGCCTGGGGTCAAGACTGGGGAGTAGGGGCTGGGGCTGCAGCTCAGTGGCAGAGTGCTTGCCTAGCATGTGCAAGGCACTGGGTTTGATCCTTAACACCATATACAAATAAAATAAAGGCATAAAGGCATTCTCTCCATCTACAACTACAAAAAGTTAAAAAAAAAAAAAAAAAAGCCTGGGGAGTAAGACTGAGTGCGGTGGTGCACACCTGTAATCCTAGAAGCTTGGGAAGCTGAGGCAGGAGCATTGTGAGTTCAAAGCCAGCCTCAGCAACTTAGTGAGATCCTGTCTCTAAATAATATATTTAAAAGGGCTGAGCATGTGGTTCAGTGGTTCAGTGGTTAAGAGCCCTGGATTCAATCTCTGGTACAAAAAAAAAAAAAAAAAGCCTGGGGAGTAGAGGACAGGCTCATCTCTCCAACACAGCCCCAGGATAGTGCCTGGCCCACATCAGATGCTTAAGGGACCATCAGTCAGGGTGACTGTGTTATGGCTGAGTCAGAGAGCACATTCCAAGCAGCAGATTTTAGGATAAAATCCAGGGCCAGCTTTGGTCCCCAGGGGGATCATAGTCTTAAAAGTTTACTCCTAGCAGGTGCCGCCAATGGCCTTCTGCAAGTCTGGTTTGTTCTAAGACACAGCACTGAAGTTCCTGAGAAGCAAATCACAAAGTCCAAGAGGTTAGAAAATAACTGATCATCTTCCTTGATGCAAGAAGCTGGGAAAGAGGATACTGCGGTTRGAGATTCCCTGGGATAGCTATGTTCACCACTCAGATGCTGGAAGTAGGGGTGGACAGGCCAGATGGTGGMCAGCTGAAACTATCCTTGCTGGGGTTTTCCTCCCTGCCTGCCCTTCCCTTTTGTCTGTCACTGCTGGGATCAGCCAGGCTGGCATGTGGCCCAGCCAGGCCAAGTGCATGAGTGGTGGCCTGCACGTCAGCCCTGGAGTGTGCAGTTTCAGATTCCAGAGGCCAGGGCTGCTGGCTCCCAGCCATGCTGAGTCAACTCCATTCTTTATTATTATCTTTTTTTTTTTTTTCTGAGTAATCGGCCTAGTGGTTCTTCCTGGCAGGAGGGTTTTCTGTGCCAGGCTAACCTTCCTGGCGGGGTATAGGGGAGTTGGTGGGGAATGGGTAGGTGACACCTGTGCATTTTTTTATTGAATGAAAGCTTAGCCTTGTGCCATGAACAGGGTCCACGGGTTTGCTTGGATCTTCCTCTGTCCCTCCCTCAGGCTCAGAGTGTTGGGGTTTCTCCTCCAGCCAGGGAACTCCACATAGGGTCTGGGCTGAGCTCCTCTTTGTTGAAMGAATGAATGAATGAATGAACGAACGAATGAATGAATGAACAAAGAAAGAGAAAGGGTGGAAGGGAGGCCTTCCTTCCATGTGCCCTGGGTTCCTCTTGCATACGAGCAAAGCCCTGGCAATGGAGGGTGGGCAACAGGAGGGGAGGCTCTGAGCAATACAGGCCCAAACCCTGCCACTAGGGCGCTGGCAATTTGGATGGGACAGGAGGTCCGGACAAGACAGAATCTCGTAAACCTACCCGCAATGACGAACCCTTGTGCGGGAAGGGGCGTGGGAGGCCTCAGACAACCCTGGGAGCCAGGAGCCCCAGTCTGGTCTTGGAATTGGAGATCATAGGAAGCCTCTGAGACCAGGAGGTTGAGGTGTCCCGGGGCTCCCCGCCCACCCCGCGGAACTCTGCGCACCAGGGAGGGACCTTCCTCGCACGCAGTACTCACTGCCCTCTTCCCCAACTTCTGCCTCGCAAAGGGGTTCAGGAATGTCCCGACAGATGCGATCGGCCTTTCCCCCACTGAACACAGCGGGGGCAGCATGGGGGTCTTAGAGGAAGCGCCAGTCACGTCTCCCACGGTTCACAGAGGAAGGCCAACCAGAGCCTGGCGCAGGGCGAGGGGAGCCAGAATTTCGCGCCCCAGAAGGCTCCCCACCCCCTATAACCACCACACACAGGACCCCACCCTAGGCTGCTCGCCCCGCCCCCAGCACTCCCCGCGCCCCGCCCCCGAGGTTCCCCCTCCCACTCCCGCACCCGGTTTATAAAAGAGGGCGTTGGGCGCTGCGAGGTCAAGCCGAGCCTAGCGGACCTGAGGCCGAGATCCATTCCTTCCCGCTGCCTTCGGCACCCCAGCGAGTCTCCGCCAGGTTCTCCACGTCTCCAGCCCTAGCATTTCGAGCCTCTGCGTCCCTGCACCGAGTCCCTGCGTCCCCACATCCAGGCCGACCAAGAACATGCGCTGCGTTCCGACGGCAGGCGCAGCCCTGATGCTGTGCGCCGCCACCGCCGGGCTGCTGAGCGCTCAGGGCCGCCCCGCGCCGCCGGAGCCGCCTCGCTTCGCGTCCTGGGACGAGATGAACGTGCTGGCCCACGGGCTGCTGCAGCTCGGCCACGGGCTGCGAGAACACGTGGAGCGCACCCGTGGACAGCTGGGCGCGCTGGAGCAGCGCCTGGCCGCCTGCGGGGCCGCTTGCCAGGGGTCTGAGGCGTCCTCCAAGCCCTCAAAAGCCCCCGAGAGCGTGGTTCTCGGTGGCGAGGCGGTCCCCGAGACCCTCCGCAGCTTGCAGGTACGCGTGCCTGCTAACGCGGGCTCTTGGGCACTCTTGCCAACTCCCTTTCTGGTCTGGAATTGTGTGGGTGGGAAGGGAGAGCGCAGCCGAGGCTCTCTAGGTACCACTGCCGGGGGCTCAAAGCATGGACATTTGGAAGGATAGGTGGGTGGGTAAAAAGGGAGGTTGGAGATATAGGACCGGTCCTCACCAAGATTTGCACCATTCCCCAGACGCAGCTCAAGGCTCAGAACAGCAGGATCGAACAACTGTTCCAGAAGGTGGCCCAGCAACAGCGACACCTGGAGAAGCAGCACCTGAGAATACAGAATCTGCAGAGCCAGGTACCCTAAGCCTGACCCAGGTGGGGAGAGAGGTCAAAGCTGGACCCGAAGGTCCCATCATGGAGCCAGGCAGGTMAGGCAGCCGAATGAGTCAATCCACCAGACACCCTCCCCCTTCTCCTGTCTTGTCCCAGGTTGGCCTCCTGACCCCCCCACACCTTGACAATGGAGTGACCAAGCCTGCCAAAAGAAAGAGGCTACCCAAGATGGCCCCACTTGGCCTGGAGCACAACACCACCCGCCTGCACAGTGAGTGTCTGGACCTCTGYTGTCCTCGGGCACTTCCCTGCCCCTCCATTTGCCAATCCTGTTCCCAGCCCCTTGGTCAGATTCACTGTAGTAAGGGGAGAGGTTCTGGTCTTGGGTCCCAGCTCCTGAGGCTGATGGCAGCACCTCCTTCCTCAGCCCTGACCTGTGCAGGCAGGCCACTGCACCCCTCTTCTCAGCAAGCCAGAGGGCTTTTCCTGAAATCCTGCTGGCCACCAACTGGAGCCAGGGTTGGAAGAGATACCACAAGGAACTTAAGCTTCAGGGGTGTTGGGAGACGGTAGTATCCCTCAGGGACATCTTCCTGAGGGGGAGGACTTTATGGGAGGGTATGATAGACGGGAGGTACCAGGTGGGGGTTTCTGAGGTTTGGCACCCCAAGAACTCCTGAGGCATGAATCTAGAAGGGAAACTGTGGCAGGGCCCCCAGCTCCCTGGCCACACACTGACTCTTTTTTTAAAAAATATTTATTCTTAAGTTTTAGGTGGACASAATATCTTTATTTTACATTTATGTGGTGCTAAGGATCGAACCCAGTGCCTTGTGCATACTGGGCAAGCACTCCACTTCTGAGCCGCAACCCCAGCCCCCACACACAGACTCTTGCCACTTCTGTCCTCAAAGTCCCCATTGAACCTACACACACACACACAYTCACACACACACACACACACACACACACACACACACACACACACCAGGCTTTTCCTGCCATCACAGGTTTTAGGTCTTTTATTGTGTATGTCCCAAGTTCCCCCCAATCTCAAATAACAACGTGTGTGTGTGTGTGTGTGTGTGTGTGTGTGTGTGTGACACAGGCTCCCAGTTCCCACTCTTAAGTTCACAGCCATGCTGTCACCCTGCCCAGCATCTGTGACTGTCCACAGCCAACTGGGTGAAAGTGTGGATCCCCCGCTTCACACCCTGGCCTGGTTGCTGGCCTCCAGCCCTGCAGTCTTGAGGGCTCCCTTGCTCCCCAGACTCCTTCCCTCTTCCCCACGGAGGGCTGGCGTTTCAGCATGGTGAGGGTCCCAGGGAGCCCTCCCGAGCCATCATCTTAGATGAGGAGTTTCTGCGGCCAGCAGGCACAGGTCCAGGCAGGGAGATGTGGTGGAAGAGAAGGGGGGTGTGCAGGGTGGTTTAGGACTCCCAGACTCAGCCTGGCCAAGTCGGGGAAAGTTCAGAGCTCTGAGAGACAAACAGCTGGAGCTAATGGAGACCACATTGGTGGCTTGGCTTCATGCCTGTCCTGATTGGATGAGAGGAAAGTAGGGGAAAGGGGAGCTGCCTGAGGGGCCGGGAAGTGTCCTTCTGGGCCTGCCCCTCTGCTGCAGCGGTGTGGACACACTGGCTGAGAATCCTGGCCCTGCCCCTCCCCCTGGTGACCTTTCCTCTACTTTCCAGGCCCAGCTGGGTTGGGCTGGGGGCCGTCCTTCCCCAGTCTCCATGACCCAAGGCCAGGTTCCTTCTCTCCCCCTTTCTTCCTTCCTCCTTCTCTCCTCTATCTTGAGCCCTCTCCCCCTCAGAGCTGGGACCCTGGGCAAAGTCTCTATGTCGCCAAGCCTCATCCAGCTGTGATCGGTGTTCCCTGGTATGAGCAGAGAGCCCTTTTGCTCAGCTCACCCGGGTGGTTGCTTCCTACCCCATCAAACTCCTGCAATCAATCATTCATGCATCAACTCTTCACTGAGTACAGGCTGCAAGCTAAGCTCAGGGTAGAGCCAGGTGCCTATGGACAGAGCTGCTCCTTATCCCTGGCCTCATGGAGCCCCCACTCAGTAGGAGGATGGGGAGCCACCACCAGATGACCCTAGTGTGGGGGAGCAGGAAGCCTTCATGTTCATTTTGGGAGATCAAGCTTGGTCGAGGGGTGAGGGAAGGCATTCTTCTGGAAACTAGGACCCACAGCGGGGACTGAGGGAAGAGAGTCCCGGACAGAGGGACCAGCATGTGCAAAGTCCTTGTGGTAGGGGGATATGTGATACAAGGAAGGTGGTGGGGAACAGGAAAGAAGCTGAAAGAAGCCAGGAAGGGTTGAGGAGCAGTGTTGAGAGGAAGGAATGTGGGTACAAAGGCTGCTCCTGAAGGTGCCTTATAGATTACACTGAGAAGGCCATAGGGAGCCATGGAAGAGTTTAGGCAGAGGTAGGAAAGGGTCATGAGATCAGGGTTGCATCTCACCTACTCATCACCCACATACAGCTTGCCTCCTGAGGCCTCAGGGGYGTCTCTCCTGCTTCACCTCCTCTCTCTGTTTGCCCTCAGGACTGCCCCGGGACTGCCAGGAGCTCTTTGAAGCTGGTGAGAGACAAAGTGGACTGTTCCAGATCCAGCCTCAAGGGTCCCCACCTTTTCTGGTCAACTGCAAAATGACCTCAGGTAGGATGCACTGGCCTTCCAGGGAACCCTCTTACCATTCACGGGCCCTAGTGTCTTTCTCTAAAACGCAGCCCTGTGTGTCTCAGGGTAGAGCATGTGCTCAGCGCCCATAAAGCCTGGGGTTCCATCTCCAGCACCAGAAACATAATAATGAAAACAAGCCCTTTCCCCATTGCCGTCCATCGCAAGCTCACAGATAGGTTCCTGGGGTTACCACCTGTAGCCTAGCAGGGAACGGTAGGGCAAGACTATAATTCCAGCTACTTGACAGGCTGAAGCAGAAGGATCCCAAGTTTGAGACCAGCCTCAGCAATTCAGCAAGTCCCTGTCTTAAAATAAAAAGGTTCAATCCTGAGTAAAACACACACACACACACACACACACACACACACAAACTAAATCCAGCTTTGCAGATAGATACCTGAGATCCAGCCCAAGCCCTTGCCTGGTGGCCCATAGTAGTCATCCCTCTGCCTCACCTTCCTTCAGTCCTCCTGGGAAGAGTGAGGGGAATGTGACTCTCCTGGGTTTGGGGGGTCTGAGGGTTGGTTGCCAGGGTCCCCTGTGAGGAGGAGCCTTCTGGTGACCTTGTGCCTCTCTGGGTAGATGGAGGCTGGACAGTGATTCAGAGGCGCCAGGATGGCTCTGTGGACTTCAATCAGCCCTGGGAAGCCTACAAGACAGGCTTCGGGGATCCCCGAGGTGGGTGTTTCCAGCAGGACCAGAGGCAGGGGAGGAGGAGGGTCCCATGGAGGTGGGCCCAGCTCACCAGGCAGCCCCTCCCGCTGTAGGCGAGTTCTGGCTGGGCCTGGAGAAGATGCACAGCATCACAGGGGACCGTGGCAGCCGCCTGGCTGTGCAGCTCAAGGACTGGGAGGGCAACGCCGAATCGCTGCAGTTTCCTGTCCACCTGGGAGGTGAGGACACAGCCTATAGCCTGCAGCTCACGGAGCCGGTGGCCAGCGAGCTGGGTGCCACCACCATCACGCCCAGTGGACTCTCTCTGCCCTTCTCCACGTGGGACCAGGACCATGACCTTCGTGGGGACCTGAACTGTGCCAAGAGCCTCTCTGGTAAGCAGCTTTGCCCCTACCCTGGCAGCCAGCCTTCAGCCCCCAAATGCATCTGTTTCCTTCCCCCACTTTCTCCTTACTTGCTGCGTGTGCTTGGGCTGCTTGCTGATGTAACTTCTCCAACCTCAGTTTCCCCATCTTTAAAATGGTGCTCAGTCCATAGGATCCTTAGGAAAATCCAATGAGAYGTTAGTGGGAGGGGGGCTGGCATGGAGCAGAACCACCCAGATCACCCTTGCTTTGTGTTTTTGAAATCAGAGACAGAGCCTGGGTTTTGTGAAGTAAAACAGGGGATCACCTTCTGATGGGTCAAAAAAAATGATGGAATGTTGATCATTTCATATGGTTCAAGCTAACCCAAATTAATGCAATGTATGCTGGTCATAGAAAGTAAAAAATATTAGCCRTGTGCCAGGAATACACAAATAACTGGCTGTGGTCACAGACTATGAAAGCAGGTCTACTGCAGTTATGGGTAGGGGATGCCCAGGGCCCCTGAGATTGCTTTTGTCATAACCTTGGGTATCTTGGAACACCATTTGACAATTACTGCCAGTCCCTTCCCATTTAAAATGTGAACAGTCTGAGGCCCAGTCTCACCCCCTACCCCATCCTCATCTCCATCTCCATGTGGAGACCCAAGGACTTGACCAAGTCCCCTCTCCTCTGCCCTCCTCAGGTGGCTGGTGGTTTGGCACCTGTGGCCACTCCAACCTCAATGGCCAGTACTTCCGCTCCATCCCACGGCAACGGCAGCAGCGGAAGAAGGGAATCTTCTGGAAGACCTGGCGGGGCCGCTACTACCCGCTGCAGGCTACCACTATGCTGATCCAGCCCACAGAGGCTGTAGCAGCTTCCTAGCCACCTTGCAAGGGCCTGGTCCCAGGCTCTAGAGGACAGTGACTTTGGCTTTGGCCCACGGATATGGTACTCTGTGCCTGAGCAGGAGCTCTAAGCAGGGGCTGCCTGGAGCTTCTTGAACAGAGATGAAGCCCACGACTGGAGAGGCCCCTTCCTGAGTGGGGGCCACACACGTTGCCCTCTGAGATTAGAGCTGCAGGGCACACACAGACCCTGGAAACCTGGGTCGAGGGKCATTGAGTCCCATTTCTCGCCCGCCCGAGGAGTGGGGGACACAGAGGGACCACTTGGGGCTGGCCAGGCCAGCCCTTGATGGCGGACTCAGTCACATTGACTGGTGGGGTTCAGGGCTCCCTGGGGCCCTGGATGCCCTCATGGTGCTGTTGTGTGGGGGTGCTGTGGCATGAGCTGGCACCAGTGATGGTGTCCGGGTGGAGTCCACAGAATTCTTGGAATAAAAGCAACATTAGAACATTTTGTTCTTCTTTGTCCTTTGGTTTGTTTTAAAAAACGGACAGTTTCAAAGTCCACATAAACATGTTCCTAGGGTGGAGAACATGCTTTCAGGTCCCCTAAGGTCGGCACTGGTTTTTCCTCCCTCCTCCGACAAGTGAGCTCAGCTTYGTCCACTCAGTATTTCATCCTGTGGATCTCCCTTGTTTTTATCTTGAAAACTATAAAACAAATCCCTCATAATAGAGAAAAGGAGAATCCTTCCTGCTCATACTTAAGCATATGAATCATGATTAATTTTTTAATATCTTGCTAGTGGATAGAAATACAATGCATGACAGCATATAGACAAAAAGTACAATGTGTGCTATAAGTTTAACTTTATTTTTTCTAGTAGCCATGTTTTAAAAAAGTTAAAAAGAGCCAGGCAYGATGGGGCACGCCTGTAATGCCAACGGCTCAGGAGGCTGAGGCAGGAGAATCGCCAGTTCAAAACCAGCCTCAGCAACTTGGTGACGCCCTGTGTAACTTAGCAAAATAAAAAATAAAAAGAAGGGCTGGGGATGTGGCTTAGTGGTTAAGCACAGGGTTCAATCCCTGGTACAGAAGAAAAAAATATATGTGTGTGTGTGTGTGTGTGTGTGTGTGTGTGTATGCACATGTATTTTTATAGTAAATATAAATGTTTATATATAAACTTATATATATTTAATATACACACACACACACACACACACACATATATATGAAGTAGAGCATGGTGGCACATACCTGTAATCGCAGTGACTTCACAGTCGGAGGAAGAAAGATTACAGGTTCAAGACTCACCTTGGTAATTTAGTGAAAGCCTGTCACAGAAACAAACAAACAAAAAAAGGGCTAGGGATGTGGCTCAAGCAGTAGCGCGCTCACCTGGCATGCGCAGGGTGCTGGGTTCGATCCTCAGCACCACATACAAATAAAAAATAAAGATGTTGTGCGCACCGAAAACTAAAAAAATAAATATTAAAAAAAATTCTCTCTCTCTCTTTAAAAAAAAAAAAAAAAAAGATGAGCATGTAGCTCCGTGGTAAGCACCCCTGGGTTCAATTACCAGTAAAACACACACACACACACACACACACACACACACACATACAAAGTACATTTTAGAAATATCTTATTTGGGTTGGGAATGTGATTCAGTGGTAGAGCATGAGTTGAGCATGTGTGAAACCCGTGGTTTGATCCCAGCACCACTAAGGGAAGGGGAAAAAAAAGAAAGTGAAAAATATTTTATTGAATCCGTCCTATTCAAAATATTAATTGGCATCTAATCAAAATTAAAATTATTACTGAGATATTTGGCTTTTTGTGTTTGATAAGTCACAGGAAACTGGTTGGTGTTTTACACTTTGGGCACATCTCAATGTGGACCAGCCGGTTTCAATAGCTCAGTAGTCACTGTCCACGGCTGGTGGCTGCCACATTGGATAGCACAGCTGTCATGTAAACACTAATACAGGATTTGTGGCCAATTACTCACATATCTACTGATAACCTGTTCTGGAATTTACTTCAAGTTTTCCTTAAATTTATTTATTTATTTTTGTTTTTGGAAAATATAAATTCAATCAATATTTATTGTGCAGCTACTACATGCCAAGCCCTGTGACAGGTATCTGTGATACTCTAGTGAACAAAAAGATCTCTGCCCTCCCTGAGTTGCCCTTTTCAGCCCCTCCCATTACAGATACGGTGACCTAGAACTGATGGTCCAAACTGGGACACTTTCAAGAGTGAAACTGGTTGCTGTTAATAATTAATCTGGACAGGAGATGTCAAACAGCTCACTCCCAGACATCAAAACTTACCAACCCAGTTTTTAAGAATGTAATCATATCTCTACCACTGGAAAATGATCTGCCATAAATAGGTTAGTAAAACTAAGGTTGATGACAATCAAACATGCCTAAGCTTTAAAATTCCAGCTTGTGGGCTGGGGGTGTGGCTCAAGCGGTAGCACTGGCCTGACATGCGTGGGGCCCCGGTTGGATCCTCAGTACCACATACAAACAAAGATTTCGTGTCTGCCAAAAAAACTAATAAATAAATAAATATTAAAAAATTCTCTCTCTCTTTTTAAAAAAATAAAATAATAAAATAAAATTCCAGCTTGCAGCCTGGTGTGTGGCTTAACAGGATACTGATTGCCGTGCATTCTCCAGACCCTGGGTTCCATCTCCAGCACACMCAAAACCAACCAACCAACCAACCATGAACTCTGAAAAGAGCCACAAGTAAGTACTGAGCTCTCATCAATGACGTGTATGCTGACATTTTAGAGGTTAAATGGATCCATGTCTTCAATTTTCCTTTAAACGTTTCAAAAATAAGATGATGGGGTCTGGGAATATAGAACTTAGGCTGTGCGCTTACATGTGCAAGGCCCTGGGTTCCACCCCCAACACCAGAACAAAAGAAAAGATGACAGAAGGGTGGGTTAAAAGGTGGGAGAGATCAAGCAAAATGTTAATGATGGAACTTTTTTGTAAAATTCTTCCCATTTGGGCTGGGATTGTGGCTCAGCGATAGAGTGCTCACTTTCTTCAGCACAACATAAAAATAAAGGCATTGTGTTGTGTCCATCTACATCTAAAAAATAAATATCTAAAAAAATTCTTCCCATTTTCCTGAATGTTTAAATTTTTTCATAATAAAATGGGGGAGGATTCTTAGGTCCTATTGTCCTCTGCTTTTTTTTTTTTTTTTTTTTTTTTTGTACTGAGGATTGAACCTAAGGACACTTTACCATGTCTCAAGCTCTTTTAATTTTTGAGACAGGGTCTCACTAGGTTGCCCTGGCTGACCTCAACCCTATGATCCCCCTCCCTCAATTTTCCAAGCATGAGCCACTGAGCAGAGACCCCTATTGCCTTCTGAAGGCAATGCACACTATATTAACTATGTAAGGTAATGGGTAGAGAAGTTTGCTTAACTGTGATAATAGTTTGATATTAGCATTTTTGTACATCTTAAATATATAAAATAAAAATAAACATACACTTTAATATTAGATAGTGATAAATCCTGTAGGGGTTAAAATAAAACAGGGTAAGGAGGCAGAAGGGAGAGGAAATTATGTTGGAAAGCGCCTGGCACCCAGCAGGGATTTATTATTCATTTACTCATTGTGGTGCTGGGGATGGAACCCAGGGCCTTGCCCATGTTAAGCAAGCGCTCCACCATGGAGCTACAACCCCATTCCCTAAATAAATTTGCTTAACAAAGATTTTATGGCAGAGGACGGTTGATTCAGTATGAAAGGAATGATCCACATATTCTCAAAAAATATTCCATGAGGCCTTCTTCATTGTTTGCAGAGGCTGAAACTCAGAACAGACAGGTAAACTAAGAAGTCCTCAGGGTAAGGATGGAAACTGCAAACGAGAGGARACACCCGCCCACCTCTGCCCAGAGGGTCCCCGGAAATGGTCATTTATGGGCTGGGGGAGGCCAAAACCGCTAGCCCTGACCTATGACGTCATCGGGACGTTAAGCAGCGTAAAATCACCTGGACGTAGCCACATTTCCCTTCCCGGACAAGTCCTCTGGTTGTAGGGTAGGGTCTGAATCAAGCCTCTCATTGGCTATACACTCCGTCAATCCGACTCATTCTTCCAGTCTTCCGTCCCACCTTTCCGAGGCTGCCTCTGATAGGCTGTTCCGGCAGTCAATTTACAAAGATCCGCATTCCTTCCGCCTTTCTCCAGGAGACCGAGGGCGAGGAGGGTGGATCCCAGGRGGCACCCACCCACGGGGTTCTACTTCCACCTCTGATTGGTTGTACTGAGTGCCGGTCGCTACTACTTCCGCTGTTGATTGGTCAGCAGACCGCCGCTCTGCGCGGCGCCGGCTCCGCCCCCGTCGGGTGTTTGTGGTGGGGCTGCGGAGTCGCCGATCCCGCCGGAAGCGCCAGGACAATGGGGACCCGGGACGACGAGTACGACTACCTATTCAAAGGTGCGGCCGGTGGGGCAAAGACGGGCCAAGGGGCGGCGGCAAGGCGGTGGGTAGGCGGACCAAGGTGCCACTCCAGGCCCCTGGGCCCAGGCTGGATCCCGGGGCTTGAGGTCTGGCGCTCAGACGGCCAGAAAGGCTGGAGTAGGCCGGTTTCTGTCACTGTGTGGTCGGAGTGCGGGGCAGTGAGGAGCAGGAGGCCGGGAGAGGCCTGGGGGTTGGGGATGCGCCGGGGGCGGGGCCGGGGCCCAGTGGGGTGGGGCCCAGGGCAGTGGGAGAGGCCGTTAGGGGCGGGGCCTTCGGGGGCGGGGCGGCCTCAGGATTTGGCGGGCCGGACCAGCTTGAAACCGTGTTTCGGGTTGGGGGCGGGGCCACTAGAGGTAGGGTCTGGACGTGTGGGCGTGGTAGAAGGTGGATTGGACCTGGGCGTAAGGGGGTGGAGTTCTCGCGGCTAAGCCAGATTGGGGATAGCGGGGGCGGAGCCCCGTAGGGAAGGGGCGGACAATGGAGGCGGGGCCGAGTTGGAGGCGGGGAGATGGAGAGGAGAGGATCCCTAGATAGGAGTGCGGATCAGAGTTAGGTGGAGGGGTGCTTGTGTGTGCAGCACCAATTCGTTCCCTTAAATCTGAACAACTCTTGATAGCACTGACCCAGTACCTGCACTTTTCTGAGCACTTTACATTAGTGAATTCATTTAAATCCCCACTTCCCTGTGAAGTCGATATTACCTGGCTTTTCTTTTAAATTAATAAGGGTTGGAATAGGATAGAATCCAGGCTGGTTGTGGACTTTACCACTTAAGGAATGAGTATTGGGGAACTTGCAGTCTGGATCAGGGATTTGATGTTGTCAGACTTCCTCCCCCAACACACAGTGATGACTTAGGCCCTTGTCAACCTGAAGATCTTCCCCACCTGGGGACCCAGGGCTCTAGGCATATTGTATGAGGCTTAGGCAGGTCAGGCAGCCATTGCCTGGTGAGACTCCATGTCACTGGAGTCCTTCATTTCTCAGCTGGACAGGTTTAGGGGTCATTGGCTTCTTGGCACCTTGTGTGCCACGCTGGACTTTGGCCAGATCCTCTGCTGGGCTCCCTGGCTGAAAGTGGCTGCCCTTGAGAACTACCTCCTGGGCCCATAAGGCACCTTTGCCCTTCTGCCTGCTGTTTGAGCGGCTACTAGCTATGGACATCTTCCCCTTATTGGGGGAGCCTGTCTATACCTGGGAATGTGTTCTGTTCCTAACAGCAGCCTTGGCTGACCATGGTGTCTGTGACAGCATCTAGTATCTTGGATTTGTAGAGAATAGAAGAGGTCATCTTACCTATGGGATATCCAAATCTCCTTGGCAGTGGGGGAGAGTGCGCCTCTGTAAAGATCCAGAGTCATCACAGAGCACCATGGTCTATTAGGGGCTGCATGCAGGCTGTGTGGTCAGCGTGTGTATGGTCTCTGATCTCACTCCAAAAGCAGAGGGTAGCTTTGGAAGGTTTTTGGAGATCTGAAAGACCCTCTGGTGACAGGTGGATCAGACTCCAGTCCTGCTGCAGCATCCCCACTTAGCCCACTCTGTGGCAGCTGTTCTCAGGTCCAGGTTGCACACTGACCCACATGTGGCCCTCCTAGGGCAGGGGACTTTCCTCYTAAGTTACTCTATCCAGATGTCTGTGGCCTTTCCTCACTTGTTATTTTTGACCTTTTGTTGTTATAAATAACCTAGCTCTGATTGTTTGCCTGAGTCCTCTTTTTGCCCTTTGGGTTATTTCCTTGATGTGTGTTCCCATAAGTACAGTTACTGGGTCAGGGGCAGCAATGCAACAGACATTGGTTCCCGGGACTTGTCTCCAGAGCCTGCTTCCTGGAAACACTGATCCAGCTTCTGCAGCAACTGGCACGGGGAAGTGCCCGCCTGCCCCGCTGCCCTCCCCCACTGGCCTCCTTTCCCTGAGCAGAGCAGGTGTCTTGTTGACCTTCTCAAGTTGGATGGGAGCAAAAGTCTAACTCACAAGGTCAGCATTTCCCATTGTGCCCATCCCAGGTCTCCCCTTCACAACTTGTATCCTTCCTGGGACCCTCTCTGTTCTATTTCAATGTTTGTCCTCAAGTCCACTTTTTTTATTATTTTTTATTTTTTTGTAGTTGTAGATGGACAGACTGTCTTTATTTTTATTTGTATGTGGTGCTAAGGATTGCACCCAGTGCCTAGCACATGCTAGGCAAGCGCTCTGCCACTGAGCTACAACCTCAGCCCCCTAGAAGTCTTTTTTTTTTCTTTTTTAAAGAGAGAGAGAGAGAGAGAGAGAAATTTTTTAATATTTATTTTTTAGTTTTTGGCGGACACAACATCTTTGTTTGTAAGTGGTGCTGAAGATCGAACCCGGCCACACGCATGCCAGGCGAGTGCGCTACCGCATGAGCCACATCTCCAGCCCCCCCTAGAAGTCTTGACAAAGACCAACTTTGTCACCTTGTGGCTCTCCAGCCCTGCCTGCTGTGGGGAGCCTTCCTGGAGGCAGAAGGGACAGCAGTCTCTATCCCCCCTCCTGTGGCAAGCCAGCCTTCTTCTCCTTCCACCTCCCTACACTGGGCTTTAGTTGCCTTCTGCTGGCTGAGCCCCTGACATGGGGGCCATACTTTTCTTGGGACCCTGGCTGCCCTCTGTTCAAGAGGTTCCCTATCCCCCACCTTATTTTTTGGCAGCCACATCACACTTTAGCTCCCTTGACTTCAGCAGCCAAGGCCAGCAGGTCCTGCAAGTGGCCACCATGTGCTATTTGTTTTCCTCCTTGAACATTCTCCCCCACAGGAGTRAGGTTGTTTATTTGTACCTAATTATAGATCTTCACATTATCACTCTAACATTTTATCCTCCCAGCCSTGGCTATTTCCCCAGCCTGTTGATTGATCCCTGGAGGTACCCCTCACTTCTCCTCTGATGGACACTGGAATGCAGGGTCCACAGAGGGAGCAGCTGTGTCCCCAGGGGCCATTGAGGCCCTCCAGGGGTCCTTTCCCTAGAACTTCTGGCCAATCAGTGTCCACCTGACCCTTGAGGACATGGGTCATTTGGAAGCTGGCAGCAATGGCCCGGGCCCTCTCCTTTGGATTGTGTCCACCCCTGCTTGAGGAGGGAGGTAGTGGTCCCCAGGGAACAGTCTAACTTCAGGGCTTGCTCTTCTCTGCTGAGTGCTCCTGGGGTAGCTTGTGGCCCTCCAGCCTGGACAGGGCCCTTATCAGGCCTGCTGTTCTGGTTGCTGCTCTGGGACCCAAACACCATCTTCCCCTATTTGGATTGAAGGCCTGCCAGTGTCCTGGCTTTGGATGCCTGTCCTCAGAGAATAGCTGAGGCAAGAATGCTTCCCATTGCCAGCCATGGGGTCCAGGATGGTCCAGGCCCTTGTCACAGAGAAGGGGCCCTCTGAATGGCTACTCAGTCTGCTTGAGTGCCTGTCTGGGCCCCTGGGGTGCCACCCTGTCACGGGGCAGGCCAGTGCATCCAGGGCTTTCAAGAGGTTCCAGCTCTTTGTTTTTGCCAACAGGGCTTGCCTGCTGGACGAGCCAAGTGACGTGTCCAGGGGGACCATTTCCCGGCCAGTGAAGCCACCAACTTCTTTGGAAATGCTGGGGGCCATGTCCTCAAGGGCTCTTTATTTCCCCAACACAACAGATCATTTGTACTCTTGACAATGCCATTTCATTGCCAGCCTGCACCCAGGGTTGGGCGCCTCGGCCATCTCTCYGCATCAGGTTCCCTGTGCCAGGGACTGCTGAGGCCATCCAGCCACTGCTGTTCACCTGGGCAGTGACTGGTTGGTCTTCGTCCTGCTCTGAGTGACCTTGGACTAGGGACTTGGGCACTCTGGGGTGAGCATCTGACCTGTTTAGTGGGATATGGGTATTTACAGATGGTCCCTGGGAACTGGAGAAGCTGAGGTCTGCAAGGTGTTTAGGAGCCAGCCTGGCCCAGGGTGTGAGGAGTCTGTTGGCCAGGGTGGGGCGGGACTCACGGGGCCCAGGCATGAGCTGGGGCGAGGCTGGGAAGGGAGTGGGCAGTGGACAGGGATTGAGTTTCCTTCTCCGTTCCYGAGGACACGAGGACTGCGAGGAAAACTCCTGGTCAGGCTCTTGAGGCCAGCAGGGGAGGGAGGTGAAGGGCAAGTGGTGCATACCGTGGTCCCCACAGCGAGTCCAGCCTGGCGCTGAGTGGCCTGGGCCTGGGAGCCGCTTGTTGCCCTCTGCATGGCTGCAAGCCCAGGTATGGCTCTACCTCTCCATCTTTCTCTGAATTTGGCAGTCTTGTGCTCGGCACCCACATTCACAAGAGGATGCTGGCACTGTTGTCACATGTCTTGTGGGCCAGGCCATGTGATGATCTGAGGGAAAGTAGAGGCCTGAATTCAGGGGTCCTGGAGGATGAGCAGGAGTTTGTCAGCTGCCCTAGAGCTGGGTGTGGTGGGAGCTGGAGAGAGGACAGGCTGAGGTACCTGGGGCCTCAGTGTCCCACATGAGGCAGAACCAAGACTCTTGAGCCATATCCTGGGGTGGGGGTGAATAGTCAGTGAGGACATGAGCTGGGAGGGAAAGAATTCAGGCCTTGACTCAGAAGATCTGGGTTCAAATTCACCTGGTTGCTTCCTA